AGTACTCTGTCTTGTGCTGGGACTTAGAAAGCAGGTCAGTCACAGCCGCCCTRCCATTAGACCAGCCCAGAGGAATGGATATTTTCCCTGTCAAACAGCTGTTGCAGTCTCAGGTGCTCCAGGACACTGTGGAGTGATTTAGCTGAAGCGTCTGAGACCAGAAGCAGCTTCARTAACTCCCAGGCCCATCAGAATAGAGTTCTAGAAGTAACTCAGCCTGCAGAAAAAAAGCTGCCTTTTGTTGCTCTGCATGTGAGAACTCTTCTTGGTTCATATTTTAAACCACAGAGAGATTTAGCTATTACTAGTTTACCACAGGGAACTTCTCACAACTCCAAAACAAGATGCTCAGACTTCTGAAACAGCAGACSAGCACCTACTTGTGACAGACAGCTTAGGGCAGACAGGTTGGATTACTAAAATATTGTCAACATGTCACTATCAASTAAGGCTGGATTTGCTATAGGCCAATGAGATTCACATTTTCACAGGCCAGATCTACGTAAAGGCTTCTTAGGTTGTTATCAGAAAAAAAAGATCTTATTTTGTGGTAATACGGCCACCTAAAGTCAATATTTTACTACGTTGCAAAGGAAGTTTTTAAGTGGAAAGAATAAAGCATTGTTTATTGTAGTCTATTGCTCCTTTATTTATGGCATTGTGGTGGTGCAGCCCCCCCGCCCTCGGGCGCGCTGTGATCTCAGGGAGGGGTGTCAAACTCTTCAGTGGAGAGCTCTGAATTATGTGCTCAGGGCTCGGATATCAATTCAGGGCATCTCGCTTCCCCTGCYTCACACGCTGCTTCCACCACACCGCCAGCCAAGCACAACAGGATCTTTATCGAGCAGCAGCTCTTTCAGAGGGAGAATGTGCCACAGCAGCACACCACAAGCATTTCATCTCCATCCCCTGCTCCCTTGTGGTCCACCCAGCAGCAAATGACTTCCTCCCACACTGTGCTGGCTTCTTTCTGCAGGGAAGCAGAAAGCTTGAGTGCACAGCAGAAATGCAGACTTCCCAGAGACGCAGACCTGCCAGCAGGCTTTTATCCCTGGCCATGACCTGGCATGGGGGACTCCTGGGAAGTGGAGAGAAGGTCATCCCAAATTCACCAAGGGCAGTAATCCGTGGGGAACAGAGGGGAGGGCCCCGACTGCAAGAGGGAAGAGTTTAACRGTGAACCAAGATCTTTATCTGCATGCACACAGCCTTCAGCATTGTTGTAAATAATACTCCTAATAAAGAGCCAATTAGACCAACAATCTCATTACTATCCAGCATGCAGTGTAGGAAGGACTGGCCTACAGCATAACTGAGCAAAGCTGAAAACACAGCTCCACATTTCCCTGTTTTAATGCACATAGGCATAAGGAGACTTAAATAGATGTGTAAGAGGTAACAAGCACGGAGAGCTGAGAGAATGGAGAGCAACCTTATAGAGAAGCCCTGTGGTGTGGCATTTGGCAGCCAATCCCATTGACAAAACCCATCCCAACGTGCTGTGCTCATCCCACACACGTGTCCTAAACAGGGCTCCTGGAGCAGCAGGAGCTGCAGCGTGCCGATGGCACAAGAGTGGGTCAGCAGCAGGGCTCCAGGCAGGACAGCAGGATTTCCACAGAGTTTGAATGAGGATGCAGGGAAGGTGCAGGATGAGGGGCAGTCTGGCATTGTGGGTGTCTGTGATTTCTTGAGAAAGGAGTTCAGGAGTGGAGATGCTCTGCCAAACCTAAGCAAGCAACACTGGCWTGATGACCACTCATGCATGGCTCATGCTAATACAGAAATTCAGAGAAAATTACTGCACAGGATCCAGTTTGTTTAATATGCTCAATGCAGTGAGCTGTCAAACAAAACATATTTGTGTTACATCCATCCCTTAAACCTTGGGCTTCYATTTTCCCTTCACATACCCTAAAAAATACCATGCAGGCTAATTTTGGAATAGCTCTCATGTAAATCATCCCCTTGGGCTTGGGCCTCTCAAGCTGGGGTTCAGCCTGAGTGACTTTTTATAGCTGAGTTATAAACTTTTAAATGCCAGACTTAATCAGAGCTCCTGAAATGGCCATTAGAGTGGTTTAAGTGGCATAGCCCTGATATATGACAGCACAGAAAGCAGGCAGGTGGCTCATCTGCAGTGGGCAGTCCATCTGGAAGGGAGCAGGGTCTGGTGGCTAGAAACAAGCATGACTGAGACCTGATCTCTGGAGTTTTGCTCYTGCCCTTGTGCTGCTGCTGAGTGATTTGAGAGAGCTCTCTTGGGATGCATTGYCCTGAGCAGACAGGTCTCGGATCAAAAGGTTTCCCCAACCTGGTTTCCCCACCATGCTGAGAACACAAATACATGTCTGCCTCCCCTTGGCAGCCTACAAGAATTGTTGGACAGTTGGGCTAAGGTTTAACACAGTATAGTGTACACTCAAAACACACAAATCAGCTTCATTTTGGGCTCACTTACAACAATCACCCACAAAGCCTTACCAAATAATTATAATCACAGATGTATCAGACATGGAAAAGCTCAGGCTTAAGGGTGAACTAATGCTGCTTTGCTCCTTAYCAGAAGGCTTTATAAAGCTTTGTGTACCCTAATTTTGCAAATTCTGAGGCACTCAGCAGGTTCCAGCTGTGCAAGGGAGGGCCTCCCTCACTCTCCAACATCACTGTGGTCTAAGCAGTACTGGACAGTCAYCAGTGTGAAAGCAGATGCTTGCACAGAGAAATTGATAGGAATGAAAACAACACAGGAGCTTTTCAGGRTGTTCTTTCTAAATTTATTCAAGTGTTAAACAAACAGAAACTACAGCATGCATCAGATACTTTCCTTTATTGTACAACAAAACTATGGACTTGTTTGTATTTGCAGCATTTCCAGCAACATCAGGCAGACTTGTCGATGTTATCCAGTTTTGCACAGTCACTAGAGTGTCGCATCATGAATTATTAAATCAGTGCTTCGTGGTAATACATAATTTCTTATCAATTATTCATGCTAATGTGCGTGTAGTTTACTTAATTGTGTTATTGACGATCAAAAGTAATTTCCTGAAAATCCTCAAGGACAGAAAATTTAATCAGCGTAACTACTTTTCAGATGCAATGCTGTTAAGTATTCTTAATTTGCTCAACAATTCACTTATTTATGTACCTTTCTGGAGGAAATACGAGTTTAATCAAACAATTAGATTGAAGAGTTAGTGTACAGAAGGGCTGAAGTTCAACTAAATGCAAGGTAATTATGCTGAAACAAAGTTGGGCCTGCCTCTTTGGACTGGAATATTTTTTTTAGTCTTTTTTTAGGAGGAAGAAAAGAAAATMTTATTGGGATGATAACTGAGAAAACAGTGATTCTCTACCCTCCAACCACTCCCCGCAACAAAGCGGAGAGGAATCTCTTTCCTTTTGGTGGAAGAAAAGGGTTGTTGCTGTTGCTGAACTAAGCCATAGCCTGCAGCCAGAGAAGCCACCTCCACCCACAGCCCAGCAGAGCAGCTCCTGAAGCTGGAGCACACAAGCAGATCACAGATATTGTGTGCTCCTCTCCCTGCATTAGGACAGTAAAGGATCCCCAATAGAAACACACTGTGTGGCAGAAGTAAAGCAAACTTAYTCCATTTGCTGAATGTGGGCCCTGTCTGACTTTTCTTTGTTGTCCCCGTGTACAAGCATGTACTCAGCACATTTCAAGAGGTCCTCAGCACAGTGTGCAGGATCAGAMGTGGCAGGAATCCTTCCACTAGCCTCCACGTTACTTGGTCAAAGTCTCAGAGAAGTGGTTTCAACCTGTTGTCCAGGGACACCTGTGGACAAGCCTGAGGAGTCTGCAAATGGCACCTCAAAAAGGCGAGTCCATGTCCCTACGTTTAAAWCTGCATGTGCAGTTCCTATGGAAAAAATGTGAGGCACCCCAGGTTAAAATGACTGCTCTTCAGATCTTCATCTGCTTTGCTTTGGAGAGGTTTGGGTGAGAGATAGGACTACATTTGCTAAGGCATCMATTTCTCCTTTGTACTGTTCCCAAACTATAATAATTACTATCTTTTAGTATCTAGATTCATTACAAGCTTTCAGTAAATGGAATAGTCTGAATTTGGATGGCATAAAGGAATATCCTTCCAAGCTTCATTTCCTCTTTATTAAACACAAAGCATGGAAAAACATATTTACAGTCTTGCAATGAAGAATTATTTTGTCTTCCAGTCTTTTCCAAGACAGGGATGTCAAAGTGCCCCCAGCTTTGAGCAGATCTAGAGACAATTACACTCTCCAATTAATACCATCATTACTGTTTGAAGCTGTGAATGCCACTCTGAAGTCATGTGTCTTTCACGCCTAACCCAGGGGATGGCAAGAGTAATACACCAAYGTTCACACAGAAGCTAGTGCAAGCATTTTCGTCACAAGAAAACTGATCTCAGCGATTTCCCAGTCATCTGTTCCGTGGGAAGTTTCACTTGAGAAAAGCAGACAGAAGGAAAAAACTATGAAGAATTTTGTTCTGCTTTCTATTTCTCTTACACCTGGATTGCCTGGGATAGGTTTGGTTGAAGTCAAATGCCTTCAGAAAACAGCAGGCCAAATTGAGATATACCTGGATATTCCTTCACCTCTGGTGTGAGCAGTGGAGTAACTGGTGCCTGGGTGCCTCTCTTGCTGCAGAACTCAACATCTGGAAGCGATGTGCTGCTTCCAGACATCTGTTTCACTCAGGATGGGAAGTCGAGATGTGCAGGAGCAAGCCAGGATCCTGGGCCTTTCAGTGTCCCTGGGATGTGGGGGGCGGATAAAAACAGTTTCACGAACGTTTCCAAACACAGATAGTGCTGATAAATCAGGGAAATGAACCTACAGGGACACAAGAAAAGCGAGGGTGCRTGAAAGGCAGCCAAAGAGGCCACTCGGCTGTGCCATGTCCCCGGTGTCCCCRAGATGTCCCACCGGGCCCGGCCTCAGCGCAGTTCACCCCAGAGCAGCGCGGGGCCAGCACCGCTCCGSTCTCATACGCTCTTGTCCCCTTCCATGTGCTCCTTGGCTGGAGAGGGCTGCTTGTCCGGGCTGCCCTCGGGGCCGGCTGTGGCGGGAGGAGCGGGGCTGCTGCTGGCGGCAGGCAGCAGGTTGGCCGACTGCAGCACGGCCTCCGAGTGCTCGCGCGCCTTCATGCGCAGCGCCGCCACGCTGGCCGTGCGGTTGCTTTGGCAGCCGTAGGTGGGCAGGAAGGACAGGCCCATGGGGTCCGGAACGCAGCACGAGCACAGTGGGCTCCCTGCGGAGGAACGGGAGAAGGAACCGTCACTGCTGGGGAAGGACATGGGCACTGCCTGACTGTTCCCTCCACCGTCAGTCTGAACATGGGGYTGACCTTTAGCAGGCACAATGACCTTTAGTGAGTACACAGGTGTTCTCTGAATCACGGCTAAAAACCCATATCCTGYTCTTGCTGATCTTTCTGTGAGAAGGATCTTACACTGTGAGTCATCCAGGGTGACAGTGAGAGAGGGAAGTAGAGACAGAAGTGAGCAGTGAAGCTCAGATCACTCAGGAGATTCCTCATAAGCCAGGCTCAGCTCATTCCCTCCTCTCTTAYCAAGCTGCTGTTCTGTGGCTGCCATCAGCCCCTCCACCTGCACACTGAACTTGATTAATGTGGGCAGCAGCATTTGGTGGGCGAGTGTAGGGCTTCTGTCACTTAYCTTTGCCTGAAAGATTACAGCAGGGAAAAAGGTGAAAATATTCCTTTTGTTGTGATGAACTTCTCCTATCTCACTGTGAGATGGACAGGCTTTTCCTTGACCAGGCTCTTGCCAGCTACTGGCACCATGTCTACCTGCAAGAGTCTGTGCTGCCTTTACCCAGTCAGTGTCTCATTGCTGAAGGACGACCCCTCAAAGAGAACGGCTGCAGAAGTGAGCAAGGGAGCTGCTGTCATATGGCTAAAGAGTGCCATGAGGAGAGATGGGCCAGAGCATCTCTACCCTGTCAYTTCAGACACTGCAGGCTCTTCCTCTGGTTTCTCTTTGATAATGCTGGAGCTCGGGCCAGTTCCCAAACAAGCCCATCTGGAAGTGCAGGTTGATCACTGGCCAGAACATGCAGTCCATCCAAAAAACCACCGTGGTAGCCAGCTTAGATGCATCTATTGAATGATGGAGAATGTATCAGAGGAGTAGGATGGGGGCAGCCTGGGATGGCAGAGATACTTCTTTACAGAATTTACTCTCTGGTTAGAAAACCAGACACCATCAGTCACCATTTTTCCAGCGGTTTTAGAGGCCACATAAACTCCACATCCTCTTGTACTCCCTTTTTGCTGATATGCTACCCTTCAACAAGAAACAGCCCAGCCACACGCATCCTGACGCGATGCAGTGTCTTCCCCTGATCTTTCCAAGCCAAGGACTTGCTTTAATTTCTGCAGTTAATATTTGAGTTAAATGGCTCATGACTAAGTGATGGAACTAATAACCTGCAGACTTTTACGCTTCTGTTCTTGGTAGCAACGGGTCAGCACCCATCTGCTAGGAATGAAGGCAGCCAGTTGTTTGCTTTTAGGATGTTGGCAAGACTTCCCCACAACAATTGTCAGAGATTTGTGGTTGCATGTAAAATTCAGAAAAAAAGGACTCTTCGTATTTCAAAAATTGGCATCTACAAAGGACAAGTTATTAATATAAACAGAAAGAACCTTTTTCTCTTGTAATACTTCTCTGATAAAGCATATGATCAGCAGATCAACACTTCCATGTGTCCAGGCATTCAAGTACAAACAAGTTTCAGCACTGGACTAAAATTCTCCACTTGTTTTGGTTTTAGCTCAGTCTTGAATTCTGTGGCTCTTTTGAGCAGGTGCACAGAAGGGTTTATAATAAAATCCCCTCARTTACACAGCTTACAGTTTTTGCCACCACCAGCCACACTCATAAAGTAATTTTTTGCCCTATTGAATCCGCTTCAGCCACTTCAGGGGTTCTGGCCAACCTTTGTGTTACAAGAGGGAGGAGAGRCCCTTCAGAGTCCCTGCAGTTTGCAGCAGATCTTTTTCACTGCAGTCTGTGAAGCCTTGCTACCCTCAGGTTCTGCTCGGAGATGGAGCTGGGGGGCCCGTGGGTGYCTCAGCTGCCTTTGCACTGCTGCTGTCCAGCACAAACTGAGYGAGGCTTTCAAGCACAGCTCCCAGGCTGAGGGGAGGGCTGGCCCATGGTGCCTCATGCAGGACGGGGCACAGACATTGTGTACTCAGTGGGACGTGGGCAGAAGTGGAGAGCAGTCTCCCCCACCTTTTCAAAAAAGCAGGAATCAGCTCCRTCCCCTAAGAATAATTTTAATTCCGTTGTTAGAGGGATAAAATATTTATCAGTATTCAGTACCAGCCTAAGCTCTTTGCTTAATAATTAGCCCTGATATTACCTAGTGGCTCTGCAACCTGAGGGTGCAGTTACCTGTGGTGGAAGCTAAGATATCTCTAGCAATAATTCACCCATAAACCATTCCTTTCATTTTCACTGACGTTAAAACGCTTGCAAACAGCTCACACATGAAAAAAATGTAAAATAAAAAGCATCACTTGCTCCAGGATTCAGATGGAATAGAGGAGAACAGGATTCAGCCCTGTTCCTTTGTAATGTATGCTGTAAAGAAGGATTCAAGCTTACAATCTTCTGCATCTGCAAGGTAATAAGTCCAGGAATGCATCGGATTTTGCTGGCACAAAAGCCAAGACAAACAACGGGACACTGAGGAGCCCAAGGTCTCCCCCTGCCCCTCGGTCAGCCCATGACCTCCACAAAGTGTTGCTGACCAAAAAAGAGGCATCCACATACAGCAGACAGCAGTGGTTTTAAACATCTTATTGCAATAGCCCTGAGCTCACAATGGAGAAGGCAGGAATTGTTCCCACTTATTTTGAATCTTGAGAGAACTTCAGGCATCCAGCTCCCATACAATCAGTGAGGGCTAAGTTGTTGGCCTGRTATCTTGATCCAGCTCCCACCAACATCCGTGACAATCTGAGATTAGTTTAATGGGATTTGGATCAAATTGCTACAATATGGACAGAGTACTATTCGCTTTCTTTCAGGAACTTACTGCCTCCTGTACACAAAATTAAAATACACAATTAGATTTCCATTAACTTACAGCAAATTTTGCTGAATTGATCTGAACCTCCTTCTATTCCTATATGAGATCATACTTTAAATGCCCAGGCTGAACATAAATACTTAATGTAATAAATACAGTCTGAAATATTTGATCCACTTGGCAGTTTAATTGATCTACTACAGAGACTGACAGGAAAAATTAAATTAGTTTTGTCTTGTCTCTGCCAACATCACATTTAAATTGTAACAATATTTGATCTACAATTTTGRTTGTGGACCCTTTTGTGCAGTTTCATGGTTCAGTTCCAGGTGAGAAGAGAGGGATGGGAGCAGGGCGCATATTGATACATAAATATCAATATAAATTTTTAAATATGTATTTTGTGTTTGAGAGCTTAAAGAATTTAATAGGTAGTCTTTCCAAAAGGCAAACCCCACATTGCTTTCCTCTTTCACTATTAGTGCATATCAGCATTTTGATATGGACAGCTGAATGGCAACCTGACATGGAGAGATGAAGAGAAAAAAATCCCATTTAAAATCCTCATTTATCAGTGMACACTGTTTAGTTTTCAGAGAAAATACTATGCTTGATTTAAGTATTGTTATYTTCTCATTGTAGTCACATTGGTTTGCTTGAGCTCTAAATTCTTATAAATTCTGAACCCCTTTCATAAGGATTGGAAGGTCAACAATAATCTCAAGTTCACAGTGTTGAGTGCCAGTGGGAGCTGATTCAAAGGGAGCTCCCTCTTGTACTTCATACACGACACCAACATTCTGTCTGTTAAAGCCTAGGTCAAAAGCAAGAAACACAAAAATGGCTTTATCCAAATYCTGAGCTCTGAATCAGGAGGTTCAGAACAAGTAAGGCATGAACTTAATGTCTGAAAGGGAGATGCATAAGATGGTCCCAGTGTAATTTAGGGTATCAAGAGCTCTTCAGGGGTGACAGCAGAGTCCACATGTTATAACTGCACGTCTCCTTGGCTTGTGACCCCTGGATGTCCAGTGCAAATATGAAAGAGCTGATGATCTGGCTCAGTTGCTCTATCAGGAGCTTTTTTTTCTAAATAACTCAACCCTGGAACCGAAAATTTCATCCTCTTTTATTTGTGCCATTAGTATTCTCCAAAAGAAAAAATCAGAAGSAAAAAATCAGAAGCCAGGACTTGCCTGTAGGGGAGGAAGGCTGGCAACAAAGCCCACAAAAAAGCTGGGAGGACAGAACCAGTCCTTTGAATACTGTCAGCCCAGGAACATTATCAATAGGAACCTCTGCCCAGCCAAGATCCACTAAACTCATTAAGATCTATCCTGGAGGAACAGGACAGCACCCATTTCCTACCCATGGCTCTTAGGGCTCCAAGTACCTGCATATTTCCTAGTATTTGTGAAAAAGACCAAAAATCTCTTCCTGTGAGGTAGGGCAGTGCTGGCGTTGGGGACCTGTGATAAGGGAATCAAAATAATTTGCTCAAGGTGTGTGCATCTGCAGCAAGCTAAAGAAATGTTTTAGATTCTCTGAAGTCAAGAGTGGTATATAAACYAGGAAAAATGCCAAACAAACCCACTTAATATATTGGCTGTTACTTGAGAAAAGTCAGCAAGTCCATAATCAAGAATGACACTGAAAATAAAGGACCTGAAGAGTTTTATTCCCATTTGCCCAGTATTACGGTAAACAGTGGTGCTTCAATTCAGTAAACACCAGTTCAAGGGTGAGTTAGGTCCTTGAACACTCCTTTCACAGTGTTGGCAACGGGAATTGCCCAGTGGAACTGGGCAAATTCCCTTCATCTTTCCATAACAGAAATTGAAATGTAATGGATGGGCAGTTCTAGTTATGTTTTAGGTTTTTTTTTCCTGGATACTGCTATTAAGCCTCCCTAATACGAACAGCAACCACAGCAGCAACAAACCATAAAAAAGCCTAATCAGTGTTGCCCTGGAATGCCCATTTGGATGTGCCTAATGCAATCGTGCTTCTCTATCCGTGGTGTGGAGGTACCGTGAAAACCAACTGAGCTATAACTTGCACAGAGCAGAGCTGYGGGTGAATTATGAAAGTAATTCCCTGGCAAGTGTAATTATTTCTCTCCTCATACACTTCACTCATCATGGGGTCTGGGGAAATTTCAGYGGAACGTAAGAGACACACTCTTGGCCTCAGCCACCAGAATGGTAGAACACATCCGCTGAAAAACGGAGATTCTTGTTTACACCCATTAATAACATCTTCTGCATTAATGAATTGCATTCATGCTGTCATCCATTAAGAAGGTACTTTGAGGTCTCTCTCTGCACAGAACASTAGCTTCTCCTGATGACTCTATAGTTATACAGCCCATAAATAAAACAAGTATTTTCCCTTCATCTTTGAGGTCTGCAATTAAATCTCCTAAATGGACTGCAGATGCCTGGCTTACAGTAAGTGTTTCATCTTGAAAGATCATGGAACTGTCAAAGTCACCACTATGAAGTAGCATAGTTGTCAAATCACAACAATTTCAGAACGTAATGAACATCAGAAGTTTCATCTCTGTGAGTCAACCTTCYTCCTGAGTATGGCCAGTGATGAAGTACTAAAGCCCTGAAGTAGGAAATGCTGTACACCCCAGAAATTATGATCTGCTAGTTTTTRAAATGAGGAAGTATACTTCCTGAGAGAATAGCACATAGGGAGATGAYATGGTAGTTAACAGATGCTTGCTACTAAGGACAGTCTCCAATGTGCAAAACTTCAGAGTGACAGAAGACAGGAAAAGGTCTAGAATAGAGTGTATACCAGTTTTTACTGATAGGAAAGCTGTCCAGTGATAATATACTCTTCTCTGGAAAAGTCTGTATTCTGGATAAAAGTTTTGTTTGCATTGTATAGCCAGCCCATTTTCTTCACAGAACATCCTGCGGTGCCAATATCCTCCCTCGAGGGAAAAAAAAATTCGGATTCAGAGACAGCATAGTGCTTAGGGAAAATAGTTTCCTTCTCATTCGACAGAGCAGACCTGATCTTACGTTCCAACAATATCCCCATATCCTGGAAGTGGCACGTGTGTGGTCCAGAGGTCCACATGAGGCAAGCCTACAATACACTTCCCAGTCTTCCCAAAAGCAAAGTTACAGGCTCAGTCCCTGYCCCAGAATAGGCTGTCTTGAGATTTCCTGTCTCTTCCAGACCAAATTCACCATCAACTATTATATAATTATACTACAAATTAGATCCAAGAACCTTGTGCCCTAACCATTTAACATAGTTTTGGAAACCTGGGTCTGGAGCCAAGCAAAGTCAGAGAAGGAGCAAGAGAGACATTAGTTTTTTAACTAAAGATAGAGAACTCTCAGATGACAGAAAGAAAATGGTCCCTGAGAGCATAAAATAATTTTTAATTAGTTACATCACCATCATCAGTTGTTATTCACTGTATTGATTTTAATTGTCTCCTTCTAAAGCATCAGTCAAGTATTACTCACTGACACCAGTGAAGTGTTGGCTCACAAGYCCAACAAAGCACATCTTGTCTCCTCAAAAGAATAGGAAAACAGCCTACACTTCCCAGTAGGACCTGATGTGCTGCTCATYTGTCTGCAGGCAGCTCTTACAGCTCTACCGAAGAACAGATTCCCCTCACTGGCCAGGATTATTCTCCCAGTGATGGGAATACTTCTCTGTTTACAAGATCCACGTAGAGGAGCTGCATTTGGTTTGACACTTGAATAGAAGAAATCAGGGTCATGCATCCTTTTGTAGTGAAATAGCACTTTGATTCTGGAGCAACTATTTTGCTTTCAAAAGCACAAAGTTTCAGATCCTGGAAAGACCTCTTAACCATTTCATTCTTCAATGAAACTCACAAAATTTTGGAAAATCTTACCACTTGCTGSGTTTCCCCTTATCCTGCTGGATTTCCCCTTATCCAAGCAATCCAACACCAAAGCAGCTCACAACTTTATGCCTCATGCTGAGTTTTATGGGATTTGTGTGACATAAAGTCTTATGCCCCCAGGTTCACTGTGGCAGGGTCCTGGCATCATTTCTGCAGCAAAATACAACTAGATTTTCAAGGGAGAAGCTTAGGTCCTTTAATTAAGACATATATGGACACAGACTATTGTCCACGTGCACACAACTCCTGTCTCAAAGGGAAAGTCAAACCAACTAAACTGAGCATATGACTTAGACAGTTAAGGTTTTGTGAACACTGTGTCCCTCCCTGTCCTTTCCTTCCTCCCCACAACCATTATCTTTTCCTCCAGACCAACACACAAGCTTGGTTGTGCTCTTAAATACACGCATTCAGATGAACCATCATTCACCTGGAGTTTCCATACCAAAGGAAAGTAAAATKTGCATCAGGCCTGTGATACCTGTGGTCCATTCAGAAGCTCCAGAGATTGTCCTGGTCACCAGCTAACAGGACCAAAGCTCAGTGACTGCCGTGCACAGCTCTACCCCAGCCCAAGTGAACTGCTCTTGGAGACATGGGGAAAGAAACTTGTGGAGAGGAACCAAGGAAGAGGAGACAACACTCCATATACCACARGAAAGATGTTACAATTATCCTCTGTTTGTATATAACTAATTTGATTTCTCATAGAATGGTAAATCCTTCCCCCTTAACCCCAAAGCCAAAATCTTACATTACTGAGACCTAGCAGCAGATCTAGCAGCAGAAGAAAAAGAGCTCTCCTGAAAGCAGCAGCTCAGACTCCCAGTTCCCTGCACGGATAACACTAGACTGGCAGGCAGAGGCAGCTCCACAAAGCTCCTGGTAGGTGAATGTGCAAATCTGTGACTGGATTTTGTAACATCAAAATATACTGCTTTATCCCAGTCTCCTTGCATGTATCTGGAGATTTCTAGTGCCAGGCAGGAAATATCAAATACATTTCAGGAATGAACTGCACTGAAAACATTCACCAAGACAATATGCAGGCATCTGATAACTGACCATTCCTATACAAATTAGAAAAATTTAAAAAACACTATTTACATTTGGGACCAGTTTTTCAGGGACATTGTCTCTTAGTCATGGCTAAACAGTATCTACAAGAGATTCAGGAATACAACTCTTTCTGCCCTTACGCTGTAAAACTTCAATCAAGCAAAAAAGAGCAAATTATTAATTTCTCAATTTAGAAGCTAAATTGTAAAATCACAGAAAATAATCTTATTCAGAAATCTTACAAATAAACAAAGCTAAGAACAAATAAACAAAAACAACAACAAAAAAAAAACCAACCCAAAACAAACAAAGAAGCCAATCAACTAAAAATACCAATCCGGCATTGCAATTTTTAATTTTTTAAAATTAATTTTGCATGGCTTTTGTCTATTTGGGCAATTTTTTCTTAAATTTAGCTACACTTAAACATGAAAMAAGTGACAACAACATATTGATGCATTTAACTTTGAACATGCTTAAATGTAAATTTTAAGGAAAAARAAATCTTCTAGCTAAATTATTCACTGAATACTATTTCCACACTTTTCAACCYGTCTGGGACTACATTTACAAATGAACAATTTCTCTGCCTGAAAAACTTCAGCTGTAYCTGCTCCAGAGAGGCTGTTCCTGACTAATGGAAGAAGTCAAGATTCTCAGCCCCAAGGCTTCACAGGGCAGACATCAAGAGGACTCAGCACTCCAAACAGCTGCTGCCCACTTAGAGGTAACGATAAGCCTTTAAGTTTTAGGGTTCAGGTTACACCTGTGTGTCCTTTCTTGATTCAAAATTCCAGGTCCCACACCTATCAAAAGGACAGTAACTGTGTGGTGTGYCTGGCTTCAGCTGTTTTTGAAAGGCAGGAGAGAAGGGGGTGCAGGGAACAGGRCACTGGACTTAAAACTCTGTATTTCCAGACATTTGCTTCAGGAATATACCTTGGCAATGCTGATTTAACTGGAAACATTCCTAAGGAGCATGAGGTACTCCAGAGAACACAGTTAGATGTATTAGAGGACCTTTTTCTTCTGGTGGCAGGTCTCTAACTGGGAAACTTTTCTCASAAGTTATTGTACCACATCAGGACAAAATAAATGTGCCTCTTTGTGCTTGGCACTGCTGTGAGGCTTTGCATCCTATAAATCTATAAATTGAATTCATCCTGCTTACACCCTGAGTCTTATAAATTGTTGGACTAAGAACAGCTAATGGATCGGTTGGTGATTTATTTTTAAAAGATGCATACTGCTGCTTTTTGGAAACTGAAAGTATATAGACACGGGATGTACCCTTCCTGAAGCCTGGGTCACAGGTAATGAGGAATTACTTCGTATCCCCCCTGTCCCTAGGAACACTCTTTATCCAAGTTCTCCRAGGGGACCTACTGTCCAAGAAGAGAAAGGTTTGGATTGTGCAGAGATGCACTGCAAAGGAAACCACATGCAAAGAGCGGATGAGGCATCAGTAACAGCGCCAGATACTACATAATGCAAAAGGATGTATATAATTAATTTATTAGAATAAATTTAACTCTTAAAAAAAAAGCATGTGCAACAAAAACTCTAAAGGAGCAAGCCCTGCCTGTCTTACTCCTTGAGAGAAACCCTGACCTCACGGAAAGTAACTGAGTGAAATGAAAGGGTTTTGCAGCAAATGATGCCTTGAGATACAACAGGAGACTCACTTTGGTACATGCAGCATTGGTCAGTGCAATTACTGCTAATCTAAAGAGAAAGAGGGATCTGCCATTTCCCAAAGGTTCCCCCACAGTGGGCAGTGGGACCACACCACTTAGCTTGAAAAGGATGCTTTYTGAGCTTATCCCTGAAATTAAATAAAGTAATTTACCTTTTAGAGAGGCGACATGGGATAAAGCTTGTGCGTACGTGGCTGTGTTGAGAAGAGTCCCCGGCAGGCAGGAAGGGAAGAAAGGTCCTGTAGGACCCACTGCTCGGCTCAGGCTGATGGAGGAAACAAAACAACTTCCTTACAAAACCAGAGCCAGCTGATTCCATCTGTGCATGCACACAAACACACTGCTGTCTCAGCGTCCAASTAGAGGTGACAAAAATGGACACCAYTRTCCTCTCACAGCCACCAGCTTCTCAGCATAGCACAGCAAACAGTGAGCTGCACAAGAAACACCTAATTTTCTAAAGATGATAGCTGTAGGTCGAGGCATAGCAGCATGCAAATCTGTCTGAGGCATTCTTGCCCCACAGACAGGAGGCTGATATCGTTTATTACTCTTACCTCTGCTGCATCTCCAGACCCTCCTTTTTATTCCTGGTTTGATCTGCCGGAGAAGGGGAATTCAAATTCCTGGCAGGAGGTGCCACCTCAGCCATGGTTTCCTTAGAGCCCTCTTGGTCGGAAGCACCCCTCTCMGTTTTTCTCCATTTAGCTCTTCGATTTTGGAACCACACCTGGAGCAGAAGAGCAATCCTGGGTGAAAGCTGTGTTTAGCCCAACGTGAAGCAGGGAGACTGTAAATTGTTAGTCTAGTGAAATCAGTTATTTAGAAGCTTGGMTAAAACTTCCTTTCATTTTGTATCCCCGTTGCTATTCTAGTTGAGTCTTAGGATTATATTTCTGTCTGTAATATTTCTTGGTAAGGAAAGCAAGCCAGAAATGTCTAAAGGCATTCAAAAAGCTATTACAACAAAAAGTTTAAAAMCAATATTTTTGATGCTATTGTGCCGGTTAGCAAAGCATTTAATCACATGCAAGCCTTTATGCACACATTTAATTCTCACTGATTTCTACACTTTAACRCATCTAAAAGCCTTTTGGTAGGGATGATGTTAAAAACATATCTAAGCATTCTGACAAAAATGTGAATGTCTTTACATCAGCCGCTGCTGAAATCAGGTAAGTCAGAAATTAAAAGGTGTGTATCTGGCCATCTTATCCAGCCTATTTTCTGGAGAGGGCTGATACTGGCTGTCCTTCCTCTCATGTCCAGTCTGCATTCAGAGGACTCAAAAGCTGATAGATAATAATTCTGGAAGATCATTCTGCAGTTTAATAATGTGGTCATACAACTGCCCCTACCTCAGGCTGCAGCATGATCCAGAATAGAACTTTCCAAACCTTATTTTTTTCCCTGTGTGCAAAACAAATATTCATATTCTTGATTTTACCACCTGACTACTAGTCTAAAAACTTTTCTTTTGCATTAACCTTGAGGCTGATATGCTGAAAGCACCATGTTTGAGGTGGAAAATGTCAAGCCTGTCTTGAGGTCAGGAAATCCACATTTTAATACATGAATTCAAGTATAGGCGAGAGTGTTGTTATTATTATTCTGCTCCTTCTCCAATTCCATTTTAGTTAGCTGCCTTTTAATTGCATGTATCAGCAAACATTGAATAATGATTTTATCTATATTCTAAATTTAGAGCAGTTAAATGCAAAGCAAAATGCAGACACTTTCTTGTGTCTTAATTGAATGAAGGTCACAGCTATAACAATATTTAATTGAGCTATTTTTCATTATCATATTTTAATGACTTTGCACTGACAGTTCGCCTGCTTCTGAGGAAAGAGCATGATGAAGTCGTTTATTTCCCTATTTAGTTATTGTTTGACAACATCATCTTCGATTAAGACTCTGCTTTATAGCACATTAATCATATTTGAATGAGCAAGAGGTATAAATGTAAACATATCTCCCATCCTCTGTGTTTCCCCATGTCCCTGCATGAAAGCAGGCTAAACAAATGCTTGCATCTATTGTCTGTTTGCATAATAGCCAACAACAAGGCTAAACACCAGTCCTCAGCAATCTAATTGTCACCACCCCTATCTCACCCTTGCACCTTTCAGGAAGAAGTTATGATCTTCCACTTCTGAATGCTCAATAATTGTCCCATTTATCTCAATTTGCAGTTCAGTCTTTAGGCACCAATAGCCAAAATGGCATTTTTTATTATTTTTTTTTAAGCCAGTACCTACAATGCAGTGGTAAAAGGAGATTTTCATTTCCAAATAATAATCAGTTTAATTTGCCCGCATATGACCAATGATTCATGTTCAGATTTAATAATCAGGATCACATAATCTGATTATAGRAGAAATAATTTGTTTACAATCCCCAATTTACTGTGGTGAATTCCATTATCTCTCTTCAGCCATTGGGTTTTAAGAGATACTAACATGACCCTAGGGAACAAAAGGCAAGCTATTATATTTCCTACAATTAGATCTTTGCATAGTCTTAACCCCGAGCACGTAAAAAAAAAAAAAACCAAAAAAAACCCAGCATGCCGAAAAGCCCCATAAATAAAAATGAATGCATAACCGTGTTCAAAAAATGGTTTGCAACCCTGTGGTGGATGCCTCAAGAGTTACAGGGATCCATCTCTGACAACTGCAGGACTGCCGCTCTTAGCACAGCTTGTACACATACAAAATTAATCCCTGGACATGGAGAAACAAAAGTGGAAAAAAAAAAAAAAAAAAAGAAAAAAAAAGTGAGAAGGAAGAAAGGAATGGGTGGAAAAGTGTGGCTGTGGAGACAGTAATCATGGCCAATGGTATTCACTGGATCATATTAAAGGTGTGGGAATTGATCTGCAGGCTCTTTAGCTGCCCAAATTAAGTGTTTAGAGAGAAGGCAAAAGAGAGAAAAGTTGGAGAGGTGCAGAAGCTTTCTTCCTGGCAGCTGGGCTCCTGCAGTTKACTAACCCCACTGCTCGACAGTGGTCATAGCTGCTTTGGAGAATCACGTCTCAGCTCTTTTCTCTGCACCACGCCCCCCCTCCAAAAGCAAGGAAATGGATGTGCATTGATGTAATTTAGTACCTTGGAGACGCGGACAAATTAGTGTAGAACATTATCACTAGTTAATTATGAATGACCGATTAATCAACCTAATCTAATATTCCACATTATGTTGATGTTATTAAAGTGCATCATGAAAATGACAGATCGTCTTCATTTGCGTTCTTTGGCCAAATGTGCACTCTGCAGTCATGATGTCAAATAAAAAAAAAAAAAAAAGTTTGCCAGTTTGAATATCCGAGTTAAGTAATTCCCCAGGATGTTTACCTGCACCCTGGCCTCCGTGAGGTTGATTTTCAGAGCCAGCTCTTCCCGAGTGAACACATCGGGGTAGTGGGTTTGAGCAAAAACCGCTTCCAGGGCCTCGAGCTGATGGAGAGAAGGAGAGCAGGGATCCGTGAGGGATCCGTGAGGGATTCATGAGGGATCCGTGAGGGATTCATGAGGGATCAGTGAGGGATTCATGAGGGATCTGGCCGCTCCACGGGGGTCTCTGTCAGTCACGGATGAGGAAAGCGAGGCCGCCGAGGCAGCGGGGCAGGCAGGATGGGGCTGGCATGGCATGGGCATGCGGGAAGCAGGCTGGGAGCGGGCATGGGGGAGGCAGGCAGCCAGTGGGGTGCAGGAGAGCAGGGGGCAGCGGGCACAGGGACAGGGACACGCAGGCTCCTACCTGCTGCAAGGTGAAGGTGGTGCGGTTGCGGCGCTGCTTCCTCCGCAGGAAGCCATCGTCGAAGTCGCCGGCGGAGTGACCTCCGAAGGGAGCCGCGCCTGCGGGCCGAGAGCCGCGTTAGGGGCCGCTGTGCCCTGGGGACAGAGGAGCCGCTCGGGAGGGCAGGGCTGCCCCATCCCGCGGGGTTCCGCCGCCCGGAGCTCACCCCGGCCCGGGAAAGAGTATTTTTCGGTCTGTTTGTGGTTTTAAAGGACCAAGAGCCGAAGTTTTGACATGGGTGTGTGGACAGCAGCTCGCAAAGGCCCTGCCCATGTGCCGGGAGAGCCCCAGCCCGGAGCAGGAGGCAGCGGGGCCGCTGGAGGTTCCTCCCCGCGCACCCCGCAGAGCGGCCAGACCGGCCCCGTCTGCTCGCCCTGGCTCCTGGAGGAGAACGTGGGCACGGAACGGCCCAAGACCGGGGGTTAAGCCACGGTTGAACCTCCGAGACCCCGGAGCAGGGCCGGAGGAGGCCGCCCTGCCCTTCCCCGAAGGTTGGAGGGCCGGCTGGGGCACCGGGGGTTGTTCCCTGGCAGAGGTGGGGAGAGGGCAAATGGGCCACTGGGGTGCGAGCCCATGGAGCAGATCCTGGTCTTCGCGGCTCCCCCAGGCACACATCATCCGTGCCCGTGTTGAAGTGTGTCACTCCCTTTCTGTTCGCTGACAAAAAAAGGCTAAAAAAAAACCACAAATGAAACCAAACAGACTAAAAAAACCACACAAAATTTTAAACCAAAAAAAAAAAAATCAAAAACAAAAAAAAAAAAAAAAGAAAACAAACAAAACCAAAATAAACCCTCAAGGAACAGAAAAGTTCCCGAACCAGCAGAAGCTGAGTGTCCCCATGACCCCTGTCGCAGTCCTGCCCGTGGAGTGCTCTGGGGTACGARGGCTGGAGGTCGCTGCTCATCTTGCAGCATCATTTGGAAGACAAACACGGTTCCCAGTCCTCGCCTCACACAGACCTCACTCTATATGGGCCTGGGAGAGGTTCATCAGCGAATAAATTACTGTCCGGGTGACCTCCAGGGACCGATCTCTCCCGCACCGGGCCTCCCCGGCTGCCCAAACTCTGGCCGAAGAGAGCTTTTCTGATTCTGCTTTGTTTTGGTGGTGGGTGGCTAGGGGGGGTTTGGACGGAAGCGTACTTTTTTTTCCCACTTGCGATACTCTGGGCTGTTTTCACCCTTTAGCAGGACAGACCGCCCCTTCCCCCCGCCCCGCTGCTGCCCGCGGAGGGAGAGCAAGGGGCCGGCCCCGGACACCGCCGGGAGAGGCTGCAGCCCCAGGGGCCGCTTCCCATCTCGGGCCGCCAAACCCAGGCACCGGCCCCACGCTGCCACCGGAGAAACAAACACACGGCAAACAAACAAACAAACAAACAAACAAAAAACAAAAAAAAAAAACAAAAAAAAAAAAAACCCAGGAGCTGTTTCCGAAGCTGTCTGCCAAAACCTAACAAACAAAGCTGCCTCAGAGCTCGGCGGCACCGGCGGGGGGGACCCTCGCACTGTCCTGGGCAGTCCGGCTCCCCTGTCCCGCCCGGAGAAAACTTTRGGGAGCGAATTTTCCAGCCGGAATGCACAGACCGGCTTGCGTCCACTGACGAAGGCGTGCTTGAAGAGAGGGCTGACCCTTCCCCGGAGAAGGACGAAACCGCTGGACCACTCCTTCCTGCCAGCGCTGCCGCAGGGAAAGCCCCTTTCTCGCCGGGTGATGCCCGTGCAACGAGCGGGGTGGCCGGGCAAGGGCATTTTAGGGAGCRGGGTCGCTTTCCCCGCCGTGCAGCCGGGAAACGGGACAGCCTGCCTGGGACTGGTGTTGCGCGGCCGCGGGGATGCTCCGCGCACTGCGAGCACCGGCCGGAGAGAGCCGGAACAGAGCCCTGGGCATCTGCGGGGGTGACACGGGGAAATCCTGAAGGCTGCCAAATTATTTTTAAGGACACTAATAATAGCAATAATAACAATAATAATAGTAATAATAATAGTAATAATAATTAATAGTAATAATAATAGTAAAAATAATAATAAAAAGCCTTTGACCAACAACACAAAGCAAAACATCCTCCCAAATATTTGTTTCAGTCTTTTTTCATTTCTGTCGTGCCTCATTTTTCCCCATCCTCCCACAGAATGTTTGCAAAATAGCATTAAAGATTTATGCGGTCCCTTTGGCTGGAGGGAGGAGGCGTGACCACGTCCTGAAAGTGTCCCGATTACAGCCATGACACCAACATCTGTGCTGGGAGGGGAGAAAAGCATCTCTCTCGTAGCCTGAGGCTCAACTGCGGGATCGCTATCCACAGAGGGGAGGCAGGTGGCAAAATGACGGGGGTGGGGGTGTAAAACCAAGCCCTTTCCAGCAGGAATCAAATTAAAAAAAAAAAAAAAAAGTCATGCAATCCTTCTTTCTGTGACAAGAGGGGAAATCTAGGAGGGGGAGGGGGATAGGGCTGTTTTTTTTCTTAAGGAAAAGGATGATATTTAGTTGTCTCTGTAAATTTGCGTCTTATCCCAGCAGTGTCCGCACGCGACAGTCCGGTCACAGTTTCTCCCTCTGTCCCCAGCGCACCCCCCGCCACACAGACACCTCCAGGTTGAGCTCTCGTACTTACACGTCTCTGTGCGACAACACTCACCCTCTAGCTGCGGGGGGCAGTGGAAGTAGAACATGGCCCTGCGGCTGGGTGGGCGCCCGCTGCTCGCAGCTGCGAGCCCGACGGCGGCCGGGGCCGGGGCYGGGGCCAGCCCGCGGAGCTCCCGCGCACCCCCCGCACCCGCGGACCGGCACCGGCTCCCCCGTCGGGCACCGCCACGCACCGCCGAGGTGCCTCCTGCAGACCTGAAGACACAGAGGGAAAGAGCAGAATAGGTGAAGAGCCCGAAGAAAACACCTGGCTAGACTCATTGATAACACTAAAGCCYATCCCAGAGGATGCAGAGAAAGTAGTGTCTAACCCCGTGCAGTGAATTTAAAAAGCCAGCGGYAGAAAACTCCGTGGTAAGCGCACAGTAATCGGAAACAGCAAAACTTTGTTGTTTTTTTTCTTCTCCCCGGAACATCAGTGCCTCTCTTGTTCCTCTATCTATTTATCCTTCCATCCATCTCTATCAGTATCTTTCTGTCTATTATCTATTTATATAATTGTCTCAAATATTCCTTTACAGAGCTAATAGTTCATAAAGAAAAAAATGTTTGTAGGTGGGATTGAACTGCTTAAAAGAAAATCTAAATTATTCTGCCGAAATGAAACAGCAATAAAACCTAAAAGCTGTCTTCTTTCCAAAGCATCCAATACACTGGGAGCCAGTGTCCTCGGCAGGGGAAAAAAAAAAAAAAAAAGCTGTCTTCTTTCCAAAGCATCCAATACACTGGGAGCCAGTGTCCTCGGCAGGGGAAAAAAAGCCCAAACAACTATTCAAATTTATATGCAGCCATTCTAAAAACAAACAAACAAAAAAAATCCAGAAGGTACATGAATATAATAATCCATACCTAAACCAAACAGAAGTGAAAACCACCGGTAAGGTTTGGGGGTGTTTTGCTTTAGAATAAGGCGCTGTGAGTTGTTGGTTGCAGAGACAGAAGGGCTCTGTGGAGTTCTGGAAGTGGCCAGATGTCTTTATATCTGTCTACAGCGTGCTCTGCCTCTCAGCACTTGCCTTTATAATCTCACGCATAATTGGCCTTAATCTGATTATTTCCAGCGCTGTCTACAGTGAGTAACTTGGATAGGTCTATTGGGCCCTACAAATGGCCCACGTGGTGTGCAGAGCAGGGGGGGTGGAGAGGATGAAAAGAAAAAACCGTCATTTCTCAGCAAACGCCAGGAATGTGAACGGCAGCAACACAATCCCATTATTTTCCGAGCGCTGGCGCTCCGGGGCTCGCAACCCCCGGCGTGTCCGCCCCGCTCAGGGGTGCCCGGGATCGGGGGGGTCCCSCAGCGCCGAGCGCTGCCCCGCCGCCCGCACCCCGGAGCTGCCAGAGCGCCGGGTAATTGCCGCCGGATGGGTTTTGGGGGGCCGCTCTGCACACGCCTCGCCTTTCCAAGCGATCGTACCACGGCAAAGTTTGATTTTGTTCGCAGCGAGGGGTCTCTGGATTTATGCTCGCTTCCCGTCTGCAAATGATATGCGGCGGGACCCTTCGCAATTACTTTTAAAATGCATCCGAGACATAGGCTCAGCGGAGAGAGATGGCCCTTGCCTCAGCCCGGGTGAAAATTAGACTTTAAAGTACCCAGATGAAATTTTCAAGTCAGGGACGCGGGATTGGATCAAATCACATAAACTGCAAAAAAAGCAAGTATAATGGCGCATAATTGGTTCTGTAATAGCATTACACAAGGATAATAGCCTGTTATGGCCCCCTGCACATTAAGTGCTTCCCTGGCGTAAAGCCTTTATGATATTAAAGGGGGAATATAATGATATTTTGGTTATTAAATGCGTGTAATTAATTTATGCACCACTGAAAATAAAGTTGGTATTATGACCCACTCAAGATGCATCAGAAGATGTAAGTCAGACAACTGTTGATAAGTTCTGGTGTCTATGTTTCGTCTAGACTGCTGATTTTATTTTGGAACAATTGCTTCTCCGGCAGACTACACAAATTTAATATTTTATAAACTTGTAATGTTCTGTGCAGGAAGGGTGAGCAAATCTACACAGGCTCTCTTAGATCTGATGGGAGTTTAAAGACAGCACATTCATACCAAAGCAAAGGAGATGGATACAGACAATACAGGTGCAGAAATAGTGATTTTGAAGCGATGATGTCTTTGGAAAGTTAATTCTGTACATATGATCTCATTAAATAAACACTAATAAGCCTTAGAAATATCACCTGCTCTATCTGCCTTTTACATTAGGCATAGATRTGGAAATTCCCCTAATGTATATTCAAGTTGAAGTTACGTTTCCATCCTGAAAAGCATTATTTTAGCAAAGCAAGGCAAAAATTATTTTTACTTGAGATCCAAATTAATTTGATCTGATCCTATCTTATTCATTCATTTATAACTTTAGCATACTAGTAACAGATGTAGAAAGCTGTCTTCATGTGTTTTATATTTACATGTCTACACATAGATAAACACTTTTAGGAATATCTTTGTTTGACAAGAGATATTGACTCACTATCCAGGCAAGTCTCTGAGCAGCAAAGTATGCCACGAATTGAGATGGTTTTTACAATACCGTGAAAGATCAAAGACCAGTGTTCTGAATCTGACTGCACTCGATAAAATAGCAGCACAAACTTTAGGTCAAGTAACCTTAAAAAGAAGAACATAACCCAGAGCCGCTGCCTGCATCTCCCCTGCCAATCTCTCCCTCTTGAGCTTTAAAATCCACACAGGGCCAGTATTGTAGGATCCCTTTGCACAGAGGCAGATGTGCCTTTTCCTTCTTCTCTGACGTTGGGAAGAGAGGAGTGAGATAGTGTTTTATCATAAGAACYCCTAATAAAATAATAATAACTTCATTATGGCGCTTTCAGGCCTTGCTCTGGTCAAGGGGGCTGCATTGCTGTTTTGGCTCCAAGACTCACTTTCCCCAGCAATTTGAAGCCTGCAARTTCAGCGTATTGCAGGAGGGGGAGAAAGCGGAATGGAGCACGGGGAAATGCTCCAAGTCGCCGCTTTTYAAATAGAAGCAGAAGAACCCTCAGCCGGTCGAGACTCAACTTTCTCCCAAGGAGCAGCAGCTGCAAAACAAGGAGATAACTAAGCAATATATAATCCCCCACCCCTCGCCAGCTTTGCGTCTGTTTAATTTTAATGCCCGAAACGTGGGGCTGACATAATTAAAAGTTAGCGCTGGGGAGTCCTGGGTGCCGCTCTCCAGCGATCGGAGCCCACGAGCGGCGGCGCTTCAGCACCACGGAGAGCGCCCKCASCTCCGCTCCCCGGCCCTGCTCCGCTCCGCTCCCCGGCCCTGCTCCGCTCTGTCCGACCCCACTCCGCGCCCCCGCTCCTCTCTGTCCGGCCCCGCTCCTCTGCCCGGCCCCGCTCCTCTCCCCGGCCCCGCTCCTCTCCCCGGCCCCGCTCCTCTGCCCGGCCCCGCTCCTCTCCCCGGCCCCGCTCCTCTCCCCGGCCCCGCTCCTCTCCCCGGCCCCGCTCCTCTCCCCGGCCCCGCTCCTCTGCCCGGCCCCGCTCCTCTCCCCGGCCCCGCTCCGCGCCCCGACCTCACTCCGCCGGACCCTCCCCGGGGAAAGGCTGCCGACAGGGCTGGTCCTGCGTCCCTCCGTGTCCCCCTACTGCTGACGCTTTCCTGCGAATCTCGGATCACAGTGAGAAAAATACGCGGTAAATTGCTTGGGATCATGTCTAGTATTTCTCTGGTAGTTCCTCTCATCCAGCTACCGAAGACATGCACTAGAAACAAGAATGAAATAACATACAGAGCAACAATATTTCAGAAAAAATTCTATTTTTGTGTTAAGTCCTTAATCTCTCTCTCATAAACTTAATTATTATTATTATTATTATTATTATTACTGTTGTTATTACTGTGACTATAGTGACATCAATATTAATTACTAGGTCTGCATGAAAAAGTACAAATAAGTATAATTCTAGACAGACATTTTGCTGATGGTGTCTGTCTTAGAGCAGAACCTTTCCTCTGCTGCACACACAACCTCTTCTCATCTTTTACCCATCACAAYAAAACATAGGGCTGAACTGATGAGCAAAATCACAGAATGGATGATTTCCTTGGAAGCACTGAGTTTTGAGGCGATCATTTGTAAAACTCAGGGAAGTCTGAATGGCTCAGTTTGATGAAATGCTCTCTTGCCTTTCCATGTCCAAACACTTCCTTTCCCGTGATTCTTAATACCTGACCACAGAAAAAGGCTAGCAGCTAAAAGGTTATTTTACCCTAATTCATGTGCAGTAAAATGTATTTTCCAATTAACCAAATTTGCCGATTTGTCCCGCTTGGACACTYTTATAATTTATAATATAAAAGTGTTCTTTCTTTATCTAAAGACCAAGGTGACTGCTTTTAATTTTCTGTAACCTCTTTACACTTGATGTTCACCAGACTCATAATGTTAATTGGCTTCATATACGGATCATCAGTTTAATGAAGGAATAAATCCTATGTTGCTTTATGTCCCTCTGTTTTAACAATGATTGCTTTAATGAAGAATGTGACGTGTTTGAAATCAAAGCTGCAGGAGACATTAGAGGTTTTTGTTTTTTGTTTTTGTTTTTTTTTATGATGATTGAAATGCTTATTTAAAGCTAAAACCATGAGGTTTTCATATTTCAAAAGCTTTTCTTTAAATAATTTTCCATGGAAAATACTGACACATTCTTCACCAGAGAACTTTTTCTTGGCAATTAAGGGCAGAGACTGAGAATAATACAGTCTGTAATATAAACACCCCAATTAGGTTATGAAATTATCTCTATTATTTTATATCACTGCAGTATTCATTCAGAGTTTAAGTAAAACTCCCAGTGAGTTATAAGTAGTTATGCCTGCCTAAATAAGGAGTATTTGGGGGGAACTAATAAACCTCTTTGTCAGCCTACTTTCATTGTTCATGAGTAGATGAAGAAAATTACAGGGGAGAAAGAATTGTCAGTTCATACACAAAAGCTCTGGATTGCTGTAGTCTATTTTTCCCCATGGGAATTTCAGGATTTCAGGAACAAGGGTAAAATGTAATGAAACATGGGCTCATAGAGGTAGGTAACTGCAAATCAGAGATCAATTAGGTCRAGCTCGAAAGCAGCAATTAGACCCRACTGCATGTGCTGGTTACAGTAGCTACAGCAGGTTTAAAATGTACAAAGCAAATGCATTCTGGTAATTGAACTTTTACATTCCTGGTCCCATTTATAATGAAAGTAAGCCTTCTCTCTCTTTCCCTCTCTCTCTCTCTCCTCTGCCTTTAATGGGAACTGCATATACTGGTATGCATACACTGGCATATATTTTCTGAGCGCTGTTGTTGACTGAAATTATATGCCCCTTAGATAAAGGAGCATGCAACATCAGAGAGGAAAGGTTCTAATCAGAGCCTGGGCAAGGGCTAAGCAACCAATGGAATTGGATAGAGATTTCATGACATGGGAAAGGAAATGCATGAGACAGAAAGGGGTATTAGCTTAAATTGCATAYCACAGAGAAGTCATTCAGTATGTCAGGCCTGGTCCCACGGTYTCTTGTCTTGTTTATGTCCCTGCAAGTGTTACACTCAGCACTCATTCAACCCAGATCACAAAAGCTTCATGTAGGTACACACAGACCTTCAGCCCTGCCTTGCATTCAGTATTCTCAGACAAGTATGTTTCCTTTCAGAGSTGGCCAGGACCCTATGAGCAGCCTATGAAGATCCCATAAATCACTCTTGCCTTCCCTCTCAATGGAGGACAACAAGGTACCTTGTGGCATCTCTGGTGGCACAGATTAGTCTGCCAGGAGCCTTACTCGATATCCACCATTCCCTGCCTGGAGCTGTGCCTTTACCAAACCAACGTTTGCCATTCAAAGTGACTCAGAGCCCAGKCTGGGACTATGCCAGGATTCGATGAGGCAAAACAACACTGGTTTCCAGGGGGATTGGCTGGATTTTTCATGAAGCTATCATGCAAAGGTGTTTCTTCCCAGATAAAACCAGTCATTAACCAAGATTTGTGAGTAAGGACTTCCAAGAAAAGGCTTTTGAGGGCAGTTGCTTGACCTCCAGGACTGGCTTAGCACATTCAGTGGAAAATTTGACACAGATGAAGATTTGATTACAATGTGGATCACAGGAGGAACTTTATACAGATTTTTAAATACACATAGCAGTTTTGTGCTGCMTGACAATTTCATTTAGCCTGATGATTAACCAAGCAAGGTTTCTGTGAACAGATCTGAACCAACCTACTGGGGTTTATGCCATAATGCCACTTTGTGTCTCAAGGCCGGGATTTACAGCACCCCCAAATTATGGTTTCAGTTAAAGGTCAGTCACTTCTCAGTATCAGGTCGTTTTCTCAGGAAAACTTATGGCTTTTGTTTTCCAGAATAAAAAAGGTCATAATCTAGCTCTGAATTAGGGCAGTTAGTATATGCATGAATCTAAAGCTGCACACATCCTGTGACAACAGAAAGTTAGCAGTCCCCCTTATACCGTGAATGGCTTCTAGCAATAAACCCAATAGGAAGAAGGAAAACATTTTACAAGMTGCTTTAATGCACAATTCTCTCATTCACCAAAGGTAAGGCAAATTCACACCTACCAACTGCTCTCCCTGGAGGTGAGCTGCAGTCCAGGCCAGAAGGGGAGGAATGGCCTAGGTGTGACATACTTTTGCACAAAGCCATTGAAATGCATCSTCTGGATGTGACAATGTTCTCAAATTAGCCAGCTCAAGCACTCCATCTCATTTATCGGTAAATTGCACCATCCTTTGGGATGAACCAGGATCGAGGCTGCCTCTGGAAAAAGAATGGATGTGCCCATAGGTGTACACAAGAGCAAACCCACGTGTATTTGCATGTGTGATATGAAGGGGTGTGGCGATAATCTGGAAGGTTTGGTATCTTTGGGAAAGCTCTGGAATTTACCATAGCCACCCAGCCACTCCTCTTTCCCGGAGAGAAGCTCCAGGACTACGAATAAATACTACCCTCCATAGGTCTTGCAAATAATTGCCCCATTTCCTACACGAAGAACAGAAACCATAGTAATTATCCTTGGCAATCTGGAAACAACACAGAGCATTCCTAGCAGATTGCCTCACACCAAACAGCATTTTCAAGCCTGCAGAGTAGATAAAAGAGAGCCGGGGCTTTTCAGTTGCTTACAGCACTGCTGTGCTCCAGCTTCCTTAGGGCAGGCATATCTAAGTTTTCTCTTCCCCTTGCCACCCCCCCACCCCTCCCAAAAAAAAGGAAACCATCCCAGATCAACTTCCCCAAGCTCATCCCTTCTGCCTGACCCACCCCAGGACACGCCCAGCATATCTCTTCTCTGCCTCAGTGCCAAGAAGCACCTTCCCATCACCTATACGTTGTGGTAGGAGCACCACAGAAATCCCTTAAAACAAACATTTCCACAWATAGGAGACCAGTCTTGTGAATTTGTGCTCTTTAACGTTGTCTTTCCCCCAACGTACTCAGACTCCACTGCTGTGCTTTCAGGACCAGGCTTAGCAATCTCCTCACCTTAAGGAGCAAAATGTGACTGCACATACCTCACATGCCTGGACCACTTTGGTTCCAAACTTGGACTTTGTGATGGGGCTAAGCATAACCCTACAGCTTTGCCATGAGGTTGGATTCTCTTCTTATTTTGGAATATTTATGTATTTCAGTTAATGACTAAGAAGAAAATTCACCTTTATTCAATAGAAAAACAAAACAAAAATGACAACAAAAAAATAGCCTACTTGTGCTTAATTGTTATTCTAATTACAAGTTGTGGTGTAGTGTAAATTTTTTYCCTTGGCATTATTATGAATCTCATTTCCTTACGAAGTCCAGGATAAACAATTCCAATATATTTTGTTTTAATTATCAGGGTTTAATGGGGCATAATAAGACTAAGTTGAGTGGTGCAGAAAAAAAATAATTTAATGTGTGCAAAACTACTGAGTGTTCCTAGCTTGCCTGTGCATATTTCACCTATTGTAGGGCAGCACTACGTTAGCTAATATTCAGTGTGTCTGTAATTTATTTATTAACCATACTTGTTTTTCAGTAGAAATTTTTCCTTTTTTTTTTTTTTTTTGATGTGATGTTGTATGCAGAACCTGCCTCTGCCAGTCCACTCCAAATGCTACCACTAAAAAAACTTCTGGCTTCAGTTCTTCAGGCCTCTACCAAAAGCAGCAGAGATAAAACATCAGCTGAAGTCACCATTCACAAACGACCTCGTTCAGACTCTCACTGTAGACACACTTTGYCACTCCCAAGGTGTGGCTCCTGCAGACTTAAACCACTGCAACACTTTTGTGGTGAAACGGGAAAAGTGCAAAAGAGCAGCCTGAAAAATAAACCAGTAAAAAGGGGATCCTTTATGACCCTCAATGCTTCCCAAGGTGCCTTTGCCAATGGCTCTGAATCCCATGGCTGGGTGTGGCTGATGCAGCAGTTAGAACCACCCCCTGCTATTTACGTTCCACTTTACCATATACCAAGATCAAAACACTTTCACTTGAGGAATAACTACTGGACCTCCCTGAAGGGAAAATTGTTTATTCTGCTTATCTGTTATACTCCTCGACAGAGTCARAGGACTTGATACAGTACCCAGTGAAGCCATTGGGAATGTCCTCTCTTCTGGAAAATTACTGGATTCATGAGTCTAGGGRGGAGGTTCAAATACAAMRCACAAACCAAACCAATGTTACATTACATTTATTTAAAAATTAGCATTTTATATTACAGATTAATGTTTGACTTTTAAATAAAATATATTTATTATAGACATCAGTATTTACAGAAAAACATTACATATATATTTTTTGCTTTTTAGAAGTCTCACTGGAGTAAAAAAATTCTCCATAAAGATTCTGCCTGTGGGAGAGGTCACATTCTGCAAGAGGTAAGCCTCCTTCATGGATTAATGGAGACAAGAAACCTAACCAGGCTTAAGATCCAACTCAATGAAWTGACTGAGGAACTGCAATGGGCTGGTTACCTGCATGAAATTGTAGCAAGACTGAAAGACCTCAAGGGGCTCCTTCCAAGCCTATGTCCTATTCTACATGGAAGAATGTAAAAACTTGCTTCAGACACTGGACCAGGCCAGCATCTAGCAGGTTCTCATGGACCTCCAAAGCTTCATGGTTTTCTTTTTTTCTTGCTGAACTGTGARGATTCTGACTCAAGCTTAGGATCCTATTTTACAGCAAATACACAATGGCAATCTCTGTGCCACACAGCCTAACAGCAACAGCAGACTGTGGTGGAGGGGAAAAATATTACAGAGAGAGGCACTGGCCTCACCAGACAGAGTTGAAGCCCTGAGTTAGAAGCCAAATATGCTGATTCCCAGACAAATACTGGCTTATGTGCTCTGTCACACTGGCTAGCAAGTCCCATGGGGACTTATGAGGAGGTCTCTGCATTTGGTAGAGCTGCATAAAGCTCATAGGAAGAAGTCTGTTTCCTGGTAATGCATGATCTGCAGGTAGAAGCCTCTGAGATTAGCTCTGGGCAAACACCCTGAAAGCTCARAGTAGGACTGCACATCCCCACTGGATCAGGCAGCCAAAACTGAATTAGGCTGTGTTATTAACCTGGATTAAGGCAGGGTGCCATGCTAAAACCCTGGAAATTCTGAGTCTTGATATACAGAACAAGACCTTAATTTAAACAGCCAATGTGTTTCAACTCCTTCACACAGCAAGTTCCTGATTTGATTAGTTTCCCTGGTGTACAGGCACTCTAAGAGGTCTCCACGGAGGTCTTGAAGTCCACAACTCTTCACGAGCCAGCCACCTTTCCACGCAGCCATGGTAGCAGAAGGATTTGAAGTGCAGACGAGTTTCTGTCTCTCCTGCCCTGTAAACTGAAACACCATCTTCTTTGGTATCTTCAGTGGCAAACAGGGAACTGAATCCAGGCGCACATCAAATGCAAATTAAAAAAATGTCTTGCTAATGACAACCACACCTTGTTGCCACCATGTCTTTATAATTTTTAAGGACAACATTCTGTTTGTCATCAAAGTAGAGAAGATTGAGGGACTTCAATTCATCTGGCACACAGCAGGGCGTGCTGACATCTTGAGACAGTTTCAGTGTATAAACAATGGACTGAACTGTAGCATGGTTTGTAGCATTTAGACTTTCCCCCAAAGGGAAGAAACAGGATCCTCTGCAATAAAATGCATTGTATCCACTCGGATAAATAATCCATCCTGACCAGCCAATAGCTTGGAAGTCTACATAGAGCTCCCTTCGGTGACATGCTGTTACCTGGCTTCTGGCAGCAGGGGCTGCGGCAGCTCGGGGTCTCCTGCTCATGCTGGCACTGCTGCTTTCCATGACATCAGCCTCATGAGAAACACGTGAAACATCAGGTTTGGCAGGGTTTATCTCTGATTCTGAAAGGAAGTTGTACATTAATATGTCACAAATGAAGTGCATTTACTAAATGCAGTATTCCACATGAAAAGTCTAGTAAATAAATCCACATCAAAATGTTCAGTTAAGATTTTGAAATGGCACCTAACCAGTGAAAGTACCAGAAGGGGTGTGTATTCAATTGCCATTTCAGCCATACTTCCAAATCTGTCAAATTTTGTGTTGCACTTTGTATCCTGAAAAGGCTCCAGTTCAGCACAAATAGAAAGGAAAAACGCAATGATCTACCAAATATTTTATGAGCGACACAATCCCTCTTCATGGCTGAATGGTATTAAGAGTCTTCATATGGCCACTCCTACAACACACATTATTCTGGGCAGTGCTAACAGAGGGTGGAGATCACAGCCTTTTTCTCTCCAGTGTTCTCCCAGAAACTCTACCCATACACTCACAAAGCAGAGTGTGCAGTAACCTTGTAATGTGTAAACATTTAAAAAAATATTTTAAAAATTATTGATCTAAAAAACCACCAGCAGGTTTACAGAACACTGCTAAAGAATGAAGCTCACTGACAACAGGATGCTTTCTTAAAGCATCTTCTGAGAAGCCCTGAAGTACATGGAAACCTCAAAATTCACATACAGAAGCTGAGATTTACTGATATGTAGAACAATCCATGTAGTCATTCACCACTAACAATACACAGGTCTAGAGAATTTCTTCATTATGGTATTTCCCAATTTTGACACAGTATCCCATGCAGAGCTTGATGCTCATTAAACTGGGGTCTAGGGTTTCACTATTAATTTTTATTTGGAAAACAAAAATAAACAGGCCAGCCTCATTTTTATTTTTAATCGATTTCATCACCTACTTCTTAATACCGATCCAAGTCCTACCTTGCTTCTTTTTGATATGCAAATACAACCGTTTACCAGAAAAGTCTGCAAAGCCAGAACAGCATGACTTGCAACTCCTCCCAGCTTTGGCTCTTTGGATTTATCAGGCCCTAAAATCCAGCCTTAGTTGGTTTTACAGGAAGGCCAGTGGGAGAGGTAAGACACTGTTTTGTAATTTAAGGCATGAGGGCGTTGTCTTTGATGGAAGCAGCCTGTAGTCACAATGCTAATTAGTTAYTGAAGTTAAATAGGTGCTTAAAAACCAAGCCAAGGACAGAGAAGTTCAAACTGCTTATTTAACAACCTCTTTCACTCTAAAAATCACTCCTAATGACTCTACTTACAGATACTTGACCAGAATTTTCACGAAGTTTCCCAGGTCACTGAGTTTTTTCAGTCTAAATCTGACATAGAATCTTCATGCAAATTTCACCACCACAAAAATAAATGGTACTTAAAAAATAGAAATCCCACCCCATAACAAACTAAATAAATCAGATTAGTTAGGATTAATGAATATTTCTTGCAAACACAATTTTTGTGAGGGAAGAAGCGACTTAGGATGCTGGCGACCTACTAGCAAGAGCTATCAAAACAAGTTCTGATCACTGACAGAGCTGAACCTCAAACACTGCAAGTAAATAACTAAGGTTAGATTCACATGAAGTAGCAGGAGGTAACAGAAGACAAACAGGCAATTCATATTCTAACAGTGAACTTACTTGTAGCAGAAGGTACAAAGCTGTGAGACCTCCGTTTGTTACTGTTCGTGAAGAGGACAAGGAGAGCATTTCTACTCTCCTGCAAAGTGCCCTGGCTCTTAGCAAATGTAACCAGGTTGTGTTCCATTCCATTGTTGGATACATGTGTAGTAGTTATCCAAAAGCCATGGTTGGAGCTGCTGTTTCCAACCCACTTGGAAACCTGGTGAAGGCAAGAAAAAGAAAAAATATTGTTTCAATATTCTAATTACAGCATTATGATTAAGCAATGTTTATATTAGGAAAAGGAAATAGGGCAACAAGCTTTGAGAGCAGGACATATATRTAACAAAGTGAGATAACTGTATAGCTGAGACTCCACTGATTTTTATATTTACACCAGTAATTCAACACTTAAAAATACAAAATATCATACGCATTCCCCAAAGCTACATTTACAGAAAGATAATTAATTTTAGAGAATTTACCAGTGAACACTTGGGTGTAGGAGTTAATATTAAAATAAACTCTCTCTGACTTTCAGCAGAAATTTATTTTTCATAGCAATCTCAACAGAGTAATATGAACTCTCCAGACCTTTCATTCCATTAAAGTTCATGTAAATCTAAAATCTATGGCATTTGAAGAAACTCACAATTAAGAAAATTTACTTATCTAATTGTTATAATTACACACTGATAGATAAGGCCAGGCCATTCTCTAGCAGGAATATCATGACTTCAGGTGGAACTCAACCAATGATCCAAGCATCCTGTTCAGTTTGATCATAAAACTTTGGCAATGAAAAACACCGTCCCAGAGTACAGTTTTAAACCCAAAAATCTGCATGTTTTAAATGAGTGGGGTTTTTTGCTATGGAAAGGCATTCACCTACTGTTCCACTTTATGGATATCTACAAAACCAATCTTGAAGCTCACAAATACAGAAGTCTATGGGGGAAATTGAATGAACGAACCGCAATCCAACCATGATAAACTCTAKAAACACAACATTGTAGCATAGAGCTCTACAGAAATTTCAGCAGAATAAAGAAGATAAATGAAAACCTACTCCTAGTACATAACCAATGCTAAATGCTTTGGCAGTCTGAGGACTAGCACAAGGTTCACAAGGCTTTAATCACGACATACTTGGCCTGATGTCYCTCCAGCGACTAGGTTTGGGTTACTCAATTCTCACCATTCTTGTACTCCTAGCAGCTCATTAACACTTCTTTAATTCAGGTAGCACCAGGTGTACTTTTAAGTGTAGAAAGAAAGTTTCTCCCTCTGCTGCTGTCCTTCAGTTTGAATTGACTTCAAAACCCAGCATAATGGCAATGCTGGAGTTATGAGCTGTCCCCATAAAAGATTTAGAAATAAAATTATGACAGACTTCTCTGCTTACTGTCTGTGTGACGTTGAAGACTTCCCAGCCTTCTGTGTAGAGGGACAGTAACCTTGATGCAATGAGATGTTTTCTCTGTGGCTTATTTTCACTCTCCAACAGCTCATACACTTCCACCTTGACAGCAGCAATACAACAAAACCAGTAAGAAATTAATTGTTCTTGCAGCAGAATAGGAGGATGAAGATTATACAGGTTTCTACACAGAGTTTAACATCACAGCTGTAAAATGGTACTGTTACTCTAAATGAGACAAAAAGTAGAATTTGAACAGTTTAACAGAAAAAGTTATCGCTACATACATCTACTTCTAGATGTGTTCAGAGGCACGATACCAGGCTACAGATGCTATAGAAAAATATCCTTGCCACCCCTATCTTGTTTTGAACACCTGATACCAACAGCATCTTCTTCTCCTCCAAATATTTGTCTTCAGGTTTGCACAAAGTCCAATCCTGCCCTTTGCCACAGGAACAGATACACTCAATTTCCTTACCCGCYCTGTTTTCTCATGAATCTCAGGCTGCTATTAGTATTTTTCTGAGCACCTCCAGCAGATAAATTTCAATTCGAATCTCTAAACAGCTCAAATCCCAGAAAAGTACAGTTTGATATGGGATAGATCTGACATTGGTATCTTTAGGGAAAGCTCACTGTCATAGCACAAAGGACAGCCTACTGCCAAAATCAAAACTTTGCACTACTTCTTTGCATGCTGGAGGCAAAGAAAAAGTAAGGACGACAAAAGAAAAATAACAATAAAGCAGGTTTGCGTGGTACATAGTTGCACTCCTCATTTTCAGTATTAGTAACAAACGACAGCACAATTAAGTATTTAACTATTTCCCCACGTACTTTGCAGAAGTGTTGCACGTCGGATCTTCTGGACAGATGTGTCCTCTTAAGCTTGAAGACCCTGAACTCAGCTTTCAGCATCTGTTCGCCCTTCTCCATGGCGCTGATGTCGAAGTAGAAGTGGTGGTGGTCCACGTGAACTGGAAAAGACCCTTCTTTAGGAACAAGCCAGACCCCGCCGCGGGGATTCCGCGGGGATCCCGCGCCCGCTCGGCCCCGGGCCCACCTCGGTCCTCGAAGCTGCGCACCACGTCGCCCTGCAGCAGCCCCGGGGCGCGGGTGATGCCGTTGGCGTCGGCCACCTTGTTGAAGAGATCCACCATGAACTGGGGCGGCTTCTTGCGGGGCAGCACATCGGGCGGCAGCTCCTCGATRTCGAAGACCTCCCGCAGGCGCTGCAGGGCCGCCGCCAGCACCTCGTCCCGCGGGCCGGGGCGCAGCGGCAGAGCGC